AGGTTGATTCGATAGAGTAACCTAGCGGTGTATCCTGCTTTTGGGGTATCGATAAGGAGCTATCCGCTTTGACACACGTTTGGTGGCCTCCAGACGATGTAGGTATCGTAACGCTATGAGCATCATGATGCTGTCTCTCCATCAGAAAGGTCGTGTTGCTCAAGCTGCTCAATTATGATTGTAGCATAGCACTTTGTGAGAGCACATGGAGAAATTGAGATGATAGCAACATCCGAGATGAGCAGTCGTGATAGTAGTTAGGCCACGCATTTTAACCTCGGCAAAATCGACAACACGGCAAGAGTGGATCTCTCAGCCACCGCGTGAAGTACGTACCTCGCGCGGTAATGTCAAGAACGGAAGACAATATTGCGCGCGACAGAAGACAAGGGCAGGAGAACCAGCGTTGGGCCATCATCGGTGTTGGTTGGATCCCTTTGGCTAACAGCACATTCCACGGCCCGCAAGCCGATCCGTCTTCCCGGAATCCGTATCTCCTCCAACGGCTCTGCAGGCACGCCCAATACACATCGCTTAGCATGTCTTAGACGACGAGCAGCCCGAGGGAACGTATACAGCGCTATGCAGTCATCAAATCTCCAAATCCAACGTTCCGTCGGAGCAAGCTAGGCCGCAAGACGACGGAACCGCGGGCCTGCTTCCAATCCACGGGATACGTATCCCACCACCACACGCAGACCCACCAAGCTTTCTCAACAGCACGCACGTTTATGAAGCTGCCTTTCTATTCTAGATAGGGCTTTCGCGGACAAGCGGCCTTGAACTACTGTTCTGGATAAGCCAAGGTGGGCTGAATAGGCTGAAAGGGTGTGTGCTCCCCGCTGTTAGGTGCTTGATATTGCTGCCGCGCGTGAGGCGCCACCAACGCGGATAGAATAGATATAAGAAGCGGCTTGTCTGTTCGATACAGTCCAGACCCTGCGTTTGCGCTTCCAGAAAAGTTCAGATTTACATCATGCCGTCTACTAAGAGCAAGAACATCATCATCACCGGCGGTGCGCGAGGCATCGGCCGCTGCACAGCACGACATTTGCTTTCGTTACCGACATCGCATCGCGTTTTCATCATCGATTTCGACAAAGACGAACTGGATTACGCTGTAAACACACATCTGGCCTCCTACGCACCACGCGTCAGCTCTTCGATAACCAACCTCCGCAATCCAGAGGAGATCCGCAGCGCAGTTGCCAAAGCCGCGGAATTCTTCGGCGGTCGCATAGATGTGCTTGTCAACAATGCAGGCGTAGCGCGAGGCTTCTTCAATGCAGGAAATGGGACCATGGAAGATGTCGCTACGGGAGAGCAATGGGAACAGTACATTGCTACTAATCTCAGCGCACCCTTCTATATGAGCCAAGCCGTCATTCCGTTCATGAAGAGCAAGAACACGCAGAAAGATGGTGCACCGGGTGTTGACCGGACGAAAGATTTGAAGCGTACGGACGAGTTCAATCAGTTGCCGCTGAATCTCCATGGCGATGACAAGTTCGACGAAGGAGGCTGCATCATCAACGTTGCTTCTTTCCGCGCTCATCAGTCGGACCCGGATTGCGAAGGCTATGCTGCGAGCAAGGGCGGTGTACTGGCTCTCACACAAGCCATGTCTGTCTCGTGCCAACGCTGGGGAATCCGTGTTATGGCGATCTCGCCGGGCTGGGTCAGCGTGCAGCACGAGTGCAAAGCTTATGATCTGCAGATCAAAGAGACGCAAAACGGATCGTACAAAGAGACTGCACCTCATGAGGAGGAAGCGATGAAGCTGAGGATGAAGGCCTGGGCGGATGATCTGGATGAGCTTTACCACAAGCAACATCCAGCCGGCAGAGTGGGCAGAGGAGAAGATCTCGCTGAGATGGTTGAGTATGTCATGGGTGCGGGCTTCTTGAGTGGTCAGGAGTTGATTCTGGATGGTGGTGCAAACCGGAGAAAGAACCCCAATATCTGAGAAGTCTGTAGGATCAACAAATAAATGAGCGAAGCCAACTCGTCGCTATGCATGTGCAACAAATGCGTGTATCCTGTCTGGTACTCCACCAACGCCATGCTTGCGGTCGTGTCAGAAAATCAACGCCAAAGTGAGCAAGAAGCAACTCTAGGAGAGGAAACAAGAACGCCGGGGTAATCTGTTGTATCCCAACTGGAAAACTAATCACTTGAAGAGAACTTCAACCATACACTTGTCATCAAGATCGCAGTCTTCCACAGTATCCATGGGCATTAGCCGCTCACCGTCAAACATAAGCGTGATTGGCTGACTTTTATCGATCTTTTGGCTGTTTTTGTAGGCACTTGCGATATGGGCGACGGTGGTCTCCTAATGACTAGTTAGCATTTGGACAAGGCTGATGAGGTTTGGCGTCGCACTTTTGTGCATACTCCAAAGGGACAGTCGACACATACCTGTTTGACTGTCAACCTGAACTCGGGTTTACCCTTCGCCTTGAGGATCAACCTGACCCGGTTGGAAGCGGGTTCAGGCTCGGGCTCTGGTGTTGGAGTTCTTTCTTTTGCCACGACAGGTGTTGCGGCGGCGATCTTTCTCGCCTCAGCTGCCGCAGCCTCATCCCTCTTCCACTGCCTATAGATTTCCTCTGTCCACGCTTCGACGTGAATCTTGGGGAGGTTGACGTCGTCATATATGTTGGAGTCTCCTTCGACGGAGATGTTGCCGTTGTCCACCTTTATGCCTAGGCGCTTTATCGACGTGCTGTCGAAGAGGCGTGTGCCCTTCCAAGTGAAGAAGACGTTGCGTGTTGTTTCCGGCGAGAACTTCTCTTTCTGACACCATGCCAGCCGTGGCTTCTCAATGGTGCTGTCTATCCTGACCTTGACCATCAATGGATTTGCGCCGGGTATTTGTGGGTCGATAAAGAGCTGCGTTATGGGTGCTTTCGGAGCGTCGCCGTTTGAGGCTGCTGCGGCTTGCGCCTTGGCCGCTGCAACGCGCGCTCGTGCCTTGGCCTGCAATGCAGCTAATATAGGATCCAGGTCTTCCTCATCTTCCTCGTCGTCGTCATCGTTGATCTCTATAGGAGGTGGCTTCGATGGTCGAACGGCTATGGGCTGTTTGTCGTTGGATCTCGGTGGCTTGTAGTCCAACTCAGACTTGTCATTGTGCGGCTTGGAAACATAGCCCGAGTCGTCGTCCAGGTCTGAATCGCCTAGGTCGATGATTGAAGACGCCTGTTGGGGCAATGAAACACTCGAGGAGGCGGATTTGGTGAGCGAGTCGTACCGTGCCGTGAGCGAGTCCGGCGGCGGATGCGACGGCGCGGGAGAGGGGGATACTTTGCTGCGCCTGAGCTATTGTTAGTACTAATATTGCGATGTAGGGCCTCATGTGTACACTTTGCTGGCGGTCCTACTCGCCCGTTCTCTGCTGGCTGAGCTACTTTTGGTAGGCACGGGCTCTTCGGTGTCGTTTGATATGCGACGGCGCTTCTGGTCGCGCGGCTCAGAGTGTTTGCGCTTCCTGGCTGCCTCGGCCTGCTTCTTCTCTTCTGCCCGGATCCTCGCTTGCTCGGCGACTATGTCATTGAACTCGTTGGAGTGGCTGAACATGTCCTCGCCATCTTTCTTGGGCGCATCCTGCCATGCCGCCCGCTTGAACAGGCTGCGTTTCTTGGGTGGTGCGACGCTTGCGGGTGTGTCGGTCATTGTTCGGGCGGTGCCATGGGCGGTCTGAGTGGACGGAGGAGGTGTCGTGCTACCCCGGGGTAGTGTGTAGGAAAGGGCAAGGCCGCTGTCGGGGCAGGCGCGGGTTGGTGCAGGTGGGGCTTCAACGCGCGCAGTCACGCTTCTCGCGATGAGGAAGAGACTGGGCCCGTGCACTCTGCCTTTCCACACCACCCAACATCGCCATCTCTCACGTCCGTATCATCGGCGACCGACTTCGAGAAATATCTGCTTACGCCTACTTAAGCATCAACGTAAGATTCATCTAGACGCTTCGTAACAAGTTGCTGACTGTTTGCTAGAAAATTCGGCATCACCACCACCATCGTCACCATGTCCACCAACGGTGAAAGCCCAGCACCCGACGCCGCCGGCGACTCAAGAGATCCTAGCGGTTTCCTCAGTGAAATCATCGGAGCTCCCGTCACCGTCAAGCTGAACTCTGGCATCATCTACAAAGGTAGCCCTTGACGTGCCTATGATGCACATCAATTACTAATCTCCGTGTAGGCGACCTTCAGTCAGTAGATGGCTACATGAACATTGCACTGGAGCGATGCAAGGAGGTGTCTGAGGGACGCGTCACCCGAAATTGGGGAGATGCTTTCGTCCGTGGTAACAATGGTATCCAACACACCACTTTGCTTTTCACTTCACTTCGTACTAACGGATGTGCAGTCACATACATCTGCGCAGACAAGGCATGAGAAGCCGCGGCTTTCCAGTCTAGAAGCAGGGTGAACGCAGCGACAAGCCACACGTGATGATCGATGACCCGTATCTTACACATACTCAGCGCCAATAGGAGCTTGGACGCCTGTCATGAGGTATACACCTGACGCTTCCACGAATGATTCAATATCAAAGCTGATTGTCGGGTGGTGCAAGTGACAGTCACGCAAACTTCTGAACCGCCCTTAAGTAACTGAGCGCCGTCCTCTGTATCAACTCACCGTCACCTCCACCCTGACATGGTCAACGGTGAAGACTATATACGTATTCCTCTCATTCCCGCTCTCCTTCACCATGTCGTCACTGTCTCCTAAATTTGCAATCCCTGTCCCAAGTCTGGTTCACCTACACTTTGCGCTGTCGCGACGCGCACTGCCCTGTTGGACCCTGCAAACATTGTGGACTTTTCTACGCGCAGCTACTGTTAGCATACACAACAACAAGCCGCGCCTCTACGTCTGATTTTGAATCGCTCTTTACAGATCTCACGCATTGCCGCACCCGCATCGCTCGTGCTATGAGTGGCAGGCACTAACCTTCTAATCTCATCCAACCCAGCTGCACGTATCGCGATGACTGTCCCGAAAGTCAAGCCTCGCGCGCAGCTCCGTACCCAGGCGAAGTCGCGTAGAACCAACAAGAAGTACCATGTCGAGAAGCCAAAAGCGAAGCAAACAAACAACGATGCGCAGAGCCCTACAAAAGCACCAAAAGGTAGACATCGTTGCTTCGAACGGTATATCAACCAAATGAATCCACTGACTGGCTCAGTGCACACGTCTTCTGCTGAATCCAACAACCCGATCTATGACGACAATAGCAACCCCGCTGATGATAACGGATCGTCCTTCGCCAGACGCCATGTACTAACTACTGACGATCAAGAGTCTGCCGGCGCCTTCAAAAGCGGTCTTCGAACCGTACTAATACGTGACAGAGCCCCTGTTACCACAGACAACTCGGAACTAGCCGATAGCGCTGCGGATGAGGATGACGACCCGCCCGCCTCTCTCCTGAACCTGGCGCCTCTTTGGTATCCTCAGCCAGACTGGTCTTGGCCGGAAGAAACTCTACCAGCGGCAACAGATACTACATTAGGTGACTCTCCTGTCGCCGAACATGCTACAGCGGGCCCTTTCCAAGTGTCAGAGGAGACTACAGCAGATGGACCATCAGGAGTGGCAGCTGCTATACCAGACTCACCGTCGACAGGGCCGGATACGACGGTCGCAGTATCATCCGCATCAACAGTAACTACAGCACATCCAGCATCAGCGGCAACAACCACTACGGAAAACCCATCTTCAGTGTCGACAGTTGCTCCAGCAATTCTGACTCCAGTTGTGGCCGTTACTGCAACAGATTGTACTCCAGCGGTAGCCATCACTGCAGCAACTTTGGCTCAGGTATCATCGGTAAGCTCAACAAAGCCCTCTCTTGGAGTATGGCACAAATGGGTCGTCGACCTCTTTGCCGGACGCAAACCAGTCTCGCCCATGCATAACGATGTCAACAATGTACCACCGCCCGTCTCGATCATATCCTGGATTAGAGAGGATCGCGACTCTCACGCAGCGCTTCCATTGCCTTCCCAACCCCACCTTGAATTGAGATATCTCATCCCTGCGACCTTTGACAAGCGGATGAGACTGAACTATCATTCCAACATTCATCCCGCGCCCCAACATGACTCTGTCGGCAAGGTCGCGACCCATGAAGACGCATCCCCCACGAACAACGTACAGCGCGGCTTCGTCGTAGCAAACCGGCCTGCTTCAGCCCCATCTCCACCACGCCGCGATGTTGATCATTACAGCAGTCTGCTAGCTCGCGACGATACCAACTGGGCGGAGTGGAACAAGTTGAATATTACTGCAGACGCCATGCCTTTCACGCGGTCGCAGTCGGACACCCAGTTGCTACATCCTCAGACCGGGAAGAAGATGGCACGGGCAAACGGTCACCTGACCAAGAGCCAGACTGGTCATGCTTTCCTAGAAGATGCCGGCCACCGATATCCGTTTGGTCAGGGACCGGGCTGGTAGTGATTGAGCAGTCAAGACATCTCTTGACCCGACTCAACATTGAAAACGTCCGCCCAGTGACGAAACCTGGGACTGGATCAATTCCCCAACGACTTGTATAACAAAAGTACGTACCACATCCTCCAGCGCAGCAACTAAAGCTAAAGACCAAAATCTAGACTGCTTCTTTTCTTCCCTTTTTCTGGTCTTGCGTCTGCAGCATTGGAGCGCGACTATTGTCCGCGCGAATGGCGTCTGCAGCATTGCCGTGTCGGCATGGCTAGGTGCAGCTTTGCTCCACATCCAACGTGTGACGTGGTCCGAATTGGAATGCTCTTAGCTACCGGCGGCGCGTACTAGGCGCGTCTTCAATCGGGCCGAGAACCGGCAGTGCTAGGAGGTGCTTTTCTTTTATCAGGGCTGCCCGGGGCGCTAGTAGGCGAGTTGTCGCTGAAAACGGTCGCGGTATTGGGATGGGTGGCGTTCAGCGGCTACATCGTGTCTTTTTTTGCTTTCTTTCTGGGAGATACCCTGCGTTCAATGTATATGTTTTAGAAGTTGGTGTGTCATGATATGCAATGTGATGTTATGAGTGATGGGATTGCGAGCATCACCCTGGCTGGCGAGCAGCTCAATGTAGCAGTAGGCGTCGTGATGATAAGGTGGCGTGTATTCATGTGTAGCAGTCGTTGTATCATGTACTCGTCTAGGAAATTCGTGCAGTCAGAAGAAAAGAAAGGAAAACAACGCCATTCCTGCATCGTCCGTTGCGTCATTGCTCTGCATATCCAGCAGCGAGCATCAACGTTGAATCATCCCATAGACCTCTTTCTCTAATTCGCTTCCCTGATCGGAGTGAAGACGACCTTAGCACTAGGCTTGGGTAAGATGGTCGACCGCCAAGTGAAGAGGCGCTTCGCAGTCGGGTTGACAAGCTCACAGTCGTAGTTCAAGATGACTTGTCCGAGGATGACCTTCATGACAGCTGAGGCGTAGAACCTTCCGGGGCTATAACGAATCGTTAGCAGTGTCTCCGGTAACAACAACCGAGATACAGCAAGAGACTTACCAGGCCATCCTGCCCGTTCCCCAGACGTGGAATGTCATGTCAAAGTCAGTCAGTTTCGTTGGCTTCTTCTGCATAATGTCGAAAGCGCCATCGGCATTCTCCAGGCTCTTAACGAGTTGTGGGTCAGCAAAGCGGAAACCGCTGAATGTCGTTGCTTCGGGGTAATCGACGGGGTTCGTCATGATGGCGCGGACGGGTGTGCAGAACCAATCTCCAATGTTGACATGTGTGCCGTCTTTGAGAGAGAAAGGTTGGAGCGCTGAGCGACGTGTGCTTTGCGACTCAACAGGTGTCAAGCGCGCAGACTCCTTGATGAAACTGTCGAGAAGCGGAAGTCCAACACCGCTTTGCTCGAAGGCGGCGTATTGGGACTCGCACTCCCTTCGTAGGGGTTCTACGTACTCAGGGTGGAGGCAGAGGTCGTGGATGGCGAAAGTTACGGTTGTGGAGACGGCGTGCACGGAGCCGAACCAGATGGCCATCAGCTCGTGGACGACACGCTGGGGTGTCCAGGGCGCGTTCTTGGGTGATGTCTCCATGATCCATTGGATGCAGTCGGCGTGTTGGGGCACTTTTTGGCCGAGCTTAGCTGCGTCTCGCTCGATGCATCGTTCTTCGGCGATAGGCAGGAGCCGGTTGAAGATGACAGCGTGCGACTTGAGCGTGCGAGCAATGATACCGCCGACGATGCTGTACGAATTAGTAAGGCGGGCTGATGTGGCTCGGCAATAGCACTTACGGAGTCATGAACCCGGGTAGCAAGCGAACGATCTCAGCGCAGATCAAAGTCTCCTCGATGTATGCGAGGGCGGAGACCATGAATTGCTCATCCTTTGCTGCCTTCGGTCAGTCATGCACGAAGTAATGAGCGAAGTGCATGGTACGAGACTCACCCAGATCCTTTCCAAAGAAAGATACTGCATTCGACAAGACGACTAACTTTACAGTCATGTGGTACACATCCGACTGCTTCTTTCCTATTGATCATTGTCAGCAGAGTTACATAGGTCATAGCTTGGCGTTTTATTACCGTTGATCACTGGGTGCCCAGCATGTAGCTCCTGGAACCTGGTGCGGATGATGCACGTAAGGTCAGGAAGGATCTTAGGCAGGTTGTTGGTCAAAAGTGTGCGAAGAGCGCGGATAAACCCAACACCCTCAGTACCACGTCGGTCAAACCAGTTGAAGCCGTGCCTGCGATTCGTTAGTAGGCCGAATGCACAAAGACTGACTTCGAGAAGCGCGAGGGTCGTCCTACATAGTGTAGAGGGGCTGTAGCATCTACAATTTGTCAATAATCGCCAAGAACGAAAGCTGCCGAAGAACTCACCTGCTTTGAGGCTGCCTGAAGTGACAGCACCGTATCTGGCGCATTGTCTAGCTCCTTGATCTGCTGAGGGTCGGAGACGAAGACATAGCGGTTATCCGGGGCGAAGAGCTCGAATGGCTTCCCTTTCGCCTCATCAAACGCTTTCTGGATAATTTCAGGGCCCCAGAAGAGATATTCCCATGCCTGGTACCGCTTGGTGATAGGTTTGAAGATGGTCTTCAAGATCCTTGATGGAGAAGAAGCCTGGTGAACAGGTCAGTGTGCACTCATAATGCATATGGAGGATGTGCATCCGGTACGTACCAGCTTCTTCGCAACCAATGCCTTGTAGCAAAAGAAAATCGATATCAAACCGAAGATGCTGCTTGCAGCATTGACCGCCAGTGGGCTGAGCGCTGGCAAATGTACGCTCTGCATCTCTAAAAAGTCCATGATGGCAGTAAAGTTTGGTTACGAAGTAAGACCTTGGATTGGGCTAATAGGCGCGGGGTGTCAAGCATTGGTACATATAGAAAGTTACCATATCGACGTTGCTCTAGTTACAAGTTTTGCTGCGCGGGCGAGCCGGTTGGAACGACCCGTTACATTACGTCTAAGCTTCTATGTAAGTGAACTAAAGTCATTGTCGGCTAGCTGAACTGTGCCACTGCACTGCAGCACGATCGATGTAATGTCAGGCCATCTGCATGCTACACAAGCTGCGTCGCTTGATGGACGCTCTCACCTATCGTGTGTTCCGCGGTTGATGAAAAGGCGAGCAACCCACCCTTCTCTAGCGCTATCACAACGTCTGCTGTCCTAGAAAGTAAGTAGACCCGATGCAACTACCGCGCAGAACACGAAGCGCCTCGTCCGTCATGCTGGAATGACCAACGGTCCGATCCATAAGGGTGTAGTGTGGGAATCGGGGAAAACGGTGAACGTCTGGACGAGTCCGAGGCTGCGGCTCTAATTCGAGGCTTGTGCGCAAACGCACGAACGCGTGGGCGAATCACAGCTGGATGAGGAAATGTTCCGTGCGCTAGATGACGGATGAGGCCCTTCAAGACCCCTGGCTATCGATACGGCTAGGTCAAGCCGCGACCCTTGATGGACTGCCGCCGACCAAGATGGCGAATAGGTGAGTGCACGGCAAGCTATCGATGTCGAAAAGTGACAGTTGCAAAGGCGCGCTTGGGCGGGTTTTGCCCCACATGGCACCACAACCAAGAGGTAGGACCGACCGCTCACGTCTGATTGGAGGACAAAAGCTCTGGTGGAGTGAAATCCGACGTCGGTCTTGTATCGCATCTGTACCTCGCTGCACCTAAGGAAGCGACTTCAAGGACAGAGCATACTTACCGCTGTATTCCCAGACCAGCAAAAGGACCTACCTCGGCCGTCCTTGTGCAAGCCGCCAGGTGACCTAACACGCCTTCATATCTTCCAGGGTCTCTCGAAGCAGAACAAGGTTTAATCGTCATTGCGTGCATACAGAGATATCGATAGCGGGAGACAAAGGTAACATCGCGGGTAGCATTGCCTGCAGGCAATGAGGTCCAAGGCCCGCTTCTCCATGGGTTCCTTTCTTTTTGATCATGCACACCTCTTCCCACGTGTCTGGATGCAGATGACGCGGACACACCCACTGGCCCGGCTTGGATCCTGGTAGCAATGCCTACGCACGTGCGGTTATGGATTGAAGCAGGCCATCGGTTCCAATTACACATCCGGAGTACGTTTGCGTTTTAACTGGAGATATACGAAGAGGCTTGCATGTCCTAGTACCCCATCAGGACGAGCTGGCGAAAAAAATCCTTCGTCCGGATATATTGTAGCTAGAGCCAGCGCTGCCATGGTACATCTTGGCGTATACGATCGACTCCAAGTAGATTTACCGGATGTCAACCGGATGATAGCGAGTAGTCGAGGTATTTTTTCCATGTGCAAACGAGCTCAGACCGACTTCGTATCCGGGCACCGCTCGAGAAGCGACCGACTAGCGCGCACATAGCATCCGCATACGTGTACACGGGGGAAGATGGCGACTGGCAACCAATATCTTTCTCCACTAGAATTCGAGATCCAGTCAAACATCTGTACAAATCGCGCCACATGACGCATCTCTTCGTGGTCGAGGTTGCTCGAGCGAACAATCGTGGTCGTAGTGGTGTGCTGCGACCAGTCGCAACTCTGCTACACTCTTGCGCGATCTTATAGCCGACGGTTCTGCTTCTGTTTCCACGCGATATCTTCAAGTTAAAGCTGTAATCCGACGTTGATCCTCCGGTCACACGCAAAACCAGATCAAGCCACTGGAAGACCAGACATTTGTGATATCGCTTTGAAAGACCCCACACCTATTCCTGATATGGAAGTCTGCCGACCCGAGCCGTGTGTGGAGCCGCGCGGTTGACGCACTGTCGAACAACCTTCCTCAAAAGATGGCAGCTACTGCAATGTGAGTAGTATGCTGTGGGTGCATTGCATGCTGCAATACCGGAGCAACTCCCTAGGTACTACCCTGAAAATCATGCCGTTCGATGACCCGCTCAGTCGCGCTAGCAACAGGTGTCGCGGGAGGCCTATCGATTGCAAATTCGAGCTTGCTGCTTTGCGATGATTGGCTCGGCCGTCTCGGTCAACGCCGCAATGAACAGTATATTCGGCAGAATGTACAGGCCGGTAGCCGCGTTTGCAACATCGACATCGATGCATGCAGAGCAGTCTGCTAGCTTGTTGGGAGGACCCGGCTGGTACCTACCTGCTGCATCAAATCCTTGCCTGTGTAAACAGCCCAATAGATGTACAGTCTAATGCAGAGGGCTTCCGGGGAGAGCTGAGGGGCGGGACGTTTTCTGTCGCTGACAGTCCATTGGAAACAGGATACATTAAGTGTTTGGAGTGTCGAGCGCTCCTCGTTCTTTCTATGCTCTGATTAGCTTAAGCATGGAGCTCATCATCACACCCACACAGGCCCTCGTGCCTTTGTCGGTTCTTTTCCTAGTTTACCACGCAATCCGAGCACTGTTCTTCGGAAAGCCAGAGTCCAAGCATTGGGAAGAGCTGCCAGTCGTGGGGCTCCAGAAAGGATGCTTCGAATGGGTGTGGGCGACGTTGAAGTCCATCCGGAAGACCCAGGACTGGGCGTTTGAAGGGTACCGCAAGGTATGGTAGTCTTCGATATCAGTAGAAATTTACTCATTCTTAATCTTCTAGTTTGCCAGCGTAAACAGCCCTTTCATCTTGCCTAGTATCGACAGGGGAGCGATGATCATTCTCCCGCCTCGTCTGATCAAGAAGGTTTACTCACTGCCAGAGTCCACTCTCGATATCCACGCGACGCAGAGTGAGACTATTCAAACGAAATGGACAGTCTGGGACAAAGAAGTAGCCGACAATGACTTCCAGATCAACGTCGTGCGTCATCAAATTACGCGCAATCTCGAGCATTTGACGCCGCTGATGGCGGAGGAACTTGATCGAGGCTTTGAGCGTTGGTGGGGTGGAAAAGGCGACACGGAGTGGAAAGAAGTCGCAGTATGGGATGCTTGCTTAAAGTTGATCGCTGGTGCAAGTAACGGCGCCTTTTGCGGCGCGCCGCTATGTAAGTCGCCCGTAGTGCCTGGTTGGAAGATGCGCAAGCGCTGATAGTGTCGCAGGCCGTGACGAACAGTTCTTGAACGATCTTAGGGATCACGCAATGAGCATCTTTGCCGGCGCTATGCTTATCAACGCATCCCCCAAGCCGCTCAAGCCAGTGACTGGCTTTCTTGTAGGATCGACTTGCTGGTACTTGCGCAGAAAAGCAATGAAGGGCTGCTTGCCTTTTGTGACTGAGAGATTGAACGCTACTGCCCGTTTCAAGGCTGACCCGAAGTGCGGGTGGACACCACCGGTAGGATTCCGTCCCTTGCATTAACGAGCTGCGCATCAACATACTTACCCGGTCCCAGAAAGATGGTCTCCAATGGCTTATCGATGAGTGCTACGCCGCAGCCGCAAAGGGAGATGCAGGGCAGTTGGAGCCGAAGCGAGTGGCGCATCGGCTCTTGTTGGTCAATGATATATCCCTTCACTCGACCAGCTTCACTGTGCAGAACGTCATCCTCGACCTCTTCAGCTCGGATCCGGCAATGGGGTATGTTGATGCTCTGCGAGACGAAGCTGCATCCGTGCTCGCCAAGTCTGGTGGTGTATGGACGCGCGATGCGGTGCGGGATTTGAAGCTCATCGACTCAATGATCCGGGAATCAATGAGGCTTAATCCTTTTGCCATCGTCGGACTTCCGCGAACAGTATGCATGCCAAGAAGTATCAAATGACTGGTATTAACGAAGTGCAGGTCGTTCACCCCGAAGGCATTCGTCTTCCAGTTTCCAACGTTCATGTGCCTCAGGGTACCATGATCGCGGTTCCAATGGAGCCAATCCACTATGACGAGAGTATCTATCCCCAAGCGCGCAGCTTCAACGCGTTCCGGTTTGCAGACCCGAACAATGTGACTAGCATCGTCGACAACTTTGCAACCAAGGACGACCTTGAGGCTGCTAAAGCGGACACGAACGAGCGGAAGGGCAAGTCGACTGCCACGCTTGATGATGCTTTCCTCGGGTTCGGGTTTGGCCGACACGCCTGCCCTGGACGATTCTTTGCCTTGAATGAGATGAAGGTCTTCATTGCGCATATGCTGTTGAACTATGACGTTGAGCACATGGCGGTTAGGCCGAAACCGTTGGATACTGTGTGGCTAAAACTTCCGTTGCACGGTGGGAAGATCCGTGTGCGACGAAGGCCCTCAAGCGCGTAGATAGAATAAACACCTTATCTGTTGATCCTTATCCGGTGTAAATCCGACAGCCGTCGCTGTATTGGGTCAAGCCTTTGCTACAGACACCTGCCGGGCGAAACGTATGGTCTGCGCTTCGTGTTCGATCTAGGGTCGCGATCGTGATGACGGCTGTCTCTACGACAACGGCAGACATGCACGGCGCCTAAAGTATGGCTCGGTTACCAGTCTGTTCGTCAATTCGTAGGTCTCAAAGCCCTCGTTCCGGCAGATCGCGAGAGTGCTCAGTCGCTAGCTACTCTTCCTCGTCGCTGCTTGTCTGTTCGCGCTCGGGGGCGCAGGAAGCCCTCCTCACGTAGAATCGCTTATCGCAGGTCGGACGACTTAGGATACGGGTGCAGGAGGGATTCTTGTGTTCCTCATGAGCAGTGATCCGAATGACACCTAGGGCTGATAGTTAGCTGAATCGGCCCAGCAGCATGTAGTGCTGAAAGAAACCGGTAGTGCGTGGAGCGCTTGCAGAGGGGAGTTAGCGACGGATCTCTACACAGATCTCACAATCCGTGGCGTCGTGCTTGCTACGATGTTGCTGTTTGCGCGACTGCGGTACCTCCCAGAGACGCATGAGGCTAATACCCTGGACAGTTTTGGCATGCTGTTCAGTCTTGGTCGCTACTTCCTGCTATCGTAGCTGATTTACCCAAGACAGACGTCGCTTCCTAGACGGAAACCTACAACTTGGTGCGGACCTTCGAACAAGTCGGGTAACACCATCGCTGTCATCGTGTTAAATAGTTCCTTTGATCAAAACCTTTGATTGAACACGTCGCCATCGGTGCGCGCGCAACTGCGGAGTGAATGGGCACACGGCTTCGCGAGCCAGGCGGGCCTTGTGCGTGAGATCATCGCAACTGGCATGTGGACCAAGGTGACCGAGATGCGTCAGTGCCTTTACGAGTATAGTGGCTGGGATCAGCTTGAGGCATCGGTATTGGGTGTTGTCGATTGTTGTTGGAGGAAGCGTCCCAGTGCCGCCCCCTTAAGGGAAACCACGCTAAATTTGGAAGCCACATGAGGATGCACGTGAGAGCGAAAGAGATGACCGCACGACAGCGTAGTTGTATGTACAAATACTGCCCACAAGCCTTTGGGACTACTATGAGCTTCTCAAACACTCCTGTACCAATTGCACGCGAGCCTGGAGACTGACCACGTGATTGGGTACTAGCGTGTAATGGATGCCCCGACCGGCAAGCTGCTTTCGGAACGCGTCGTCGATGCGCATTTACGCCTCCGTCCCGTCTGGCATCAATCGCGTCCCGTCGTCGGCAAGCCAACTACAGCCAGCTTCGCATAGCACCACAACGCCCGCCTTCATGCGCCGCTCGAGTTCCTGCCACTTTGCCGATGCGAGCATCTCGCCTGCCGCTCCTTCGCCCACGAACAGTTGCGCGTATATGATAGGATCGAGACCGGAGCGATCGGAGATATACCATGTGGTCGGCGGCGTGTCAAGACCGATGGCAGCCTGTTCGGCTTCGAATTGCGCGTCGAGGATGTGCTTCTGCAGTTGCAAGGATCGGGATGGCGATGCAGTGATGTCCTCGCGGCTGAAATGCTTGTCGTGTAACACTGTGCGCGCGACCTCTCGGATGATCACCGGCCTCGAGGCTACCTCTGTAACCGGAAGGGCTGTACCACCTTGATAGAACGCCTCTTCGAGTGCGTTCACGAGTGTCGTCTTGCCAGTACATTGGGCGCCGATAATGTAAAGACAGCGACTGAGAGCTGCCTCATTCGCCATTTTGTCTGTGGTGAGTGCTGGGGAAGAGACAGAAGTCAAGGCAGACGCCGCTCTTATGGTGAGTCTCGTCTTGCCGCTTTGGGTAGTTCGGTGTAACGTCGCACAAGCAAACGCAATCCTTCACGAATCACGAAGACTTTCGTCTGTGTACACCCCGCATCAAGCCACTCTCCTTCTGCAACACTGCGGCGCACTCCTCTCCACCACAACAATGAGCAATTTGCGAGCTTTTCGCGCTATTCTCTCGCGTGACTTCGATCCAGAGGTCACGTCATGGAATTACACCGTTGCCAACCTCCCGCAGGCCCGGCAGACAAACGCGGCTGGACTTGTCAAGTGCTTTTCCCTTGTTTCTTCGGGAACCGTGCAGGAGATGGTTCTGCGGTTTGAAAGCGCGCCCTCCAACCGTGTTACCCGCAAAGAGCCTTTGGACAGACTCCTCCTCGTTTCGCTGGCGGACTTCCGCTTGCGTTGGCCTTCAAAATCGCCAGATGACCCACCACGCGTAGCCACTGGCAGAGAAAACGGCGATTACGTCACAAGACTACTCACCACTGGCGTTGTACTCAATGGGATTCACTACCACTTCTTCGGTCATTCCAACAGCCAAACGAAGTCCAGATCATGTTTCATGTATGGCGCATCGAAAGCAGACATCTCTGTCAAAATCGAAGCTATGGGTGATCTTTCAAAACTCAAGTCCGTAGGCAAGAAAGCAAAACGAATTGGGCTGCTTTTCTCCAGCGCAGAGGCCGCGCTTGATCTCTTCCCGGAACGCTGCAGAGACATCGACGATGTCAAACGCGATGATTATGTTTTCACTGACGGATGTGGTCTGATATCTCTTCAACTTGCTCGACAACTGGCCCAGAGACGCAACATAATATATCGCAACCAGCGCTACCTACCGTCCGTATTCCAAATTGGATATCGTGGATACAAGGGCGTATTGACCTTGGACCCTGACCTCCAGGGCAAGGAAGAGGTACAGTTTCGAGAATCTATGAGGAAGTTCAAGGATGCGTCCGATCACAGTTTCGCGGTCGTAGACTATTCCAAGGTTAGATCTCCAAATCATCTCTTGGTTTACTGAGCTGACTAGACTTAGCCTTACGCCTTTGGTAGCCTAAACGATGAGGTGGTGGTGCTCTTGCATACGTTAGGTATCTCGGCAGATATCCTTCTCGACAAGCAGCAGCAGCACCTGCAATTCCTCAATAACGTTGGTCAAGGTAACCCAGGGGCAGCCTTCCAGTACCTTTCATATAGTGGCAGACTCGATCTAGCAGAGAAACTTCTATTAGAAGGCATTGGGTCTGTCCACAAGCTCTTGGGAAGGATGGTTCGAGAAGAGTACACGAAGATGCTGAACAAAAGAGACGAACAGCGATGTCGGATTCTGATCCGCCGCTCACGACTTCTCTTTGGTATTTGCGACCCAAGGAGCAAGAATGGTCACCCGGGAAAGCTCAGAGAAGGAGAATGCTTCGTGCGAATAACTGATGTTGACGGGCGAGCGCATACCATCATTAACACCGAGGTGATGGTAACGAGAAATCCATGCATGCATCCTGGCGATCTCCAGAAATTCAAGGCAGTAGATATCCCGGAGTTTGCTCATCTAGTCGACTGCATCGTGTTCTCAACGGAAGGGAGCAGGCCAAGCGCTGATCTCATGTCAGGTGGTGACCTCGATGGGGACAAATGTAAACCGCTCGTATGCATCTGCCTCGAACTCGCTGACATCTTTTCAGTCTTTGTGACTTGGGATCCAGATATCATTCCACGAACAATGGCACAGCCCGCCCAGTACCCAGGAGGCAAAGAGCTTGTAACTTTCGGCGAAGTGACCGGTGACGCCCGAGCGGAGTACTTTGCCCGATACACCAGTGCGTCCCTGGGGAAAGTCAAGAATCTCTACATGAGATGGGCGCGCCTTGGTAATGCCATGAGCCCTCAATGTCAACAACTCAATCGGCTGTTTTCTCAATGCGTCGATGGAAATCACATCCGGGTTCCTGACGACCTCAAGGAATTCACGAAGTTAGAGGATCCGCCTCAACCTAAACCCGCTGTCGCTCCCTTCATCTTGGATGTTCTGCATGATGCATGCACCCAGCTCATTCTCCAGGCTGACAACACACGACCTAACGACTGCGATGAAGTCGACGTGATGGAGCTCTTCCTCGCACGAGACAAGATGGCGATGTCTGAATTCGAATTACTGCATCTTCTACTACGCTGGTGTAAGCATAGCGGTGCAGACATCCTCGAATACAGCCACCATCTCGATTTCAGTGCTCTGAGCGATGAGCAGCAAATATGGTTTCTTAGCTGCCTTCCACCGTCTGCAACTGCGCCGAGTTTGGTACGGAACGGGCTTCTCCAGTCAGAACTCGTGACGCCTGACGAGTTGAGCAAGTTTCGCCTAGATCAGCCGCACCTGCACTGGAAGCCGGTCTTCAGATCGTCCACCGACCGTATGCAAAGATTCTTGCCTACCGTCTCTCAGGCCTTGGAAATCTTCCACAAGAAACTCATCATCTTGACGGTGGATGAACGTCTGAGCGTTGCGATATACGTACCAAAAAAGATTGAAAGAGCAAGCGAAGTTCAAGTCGACACCAGCGTCGTAGTCTTCGCTTTTCCCCACTCACAAGGCCTACATTCACCAAACTACAAGATGCTACCAACCAAGGTCAACTACAGGCTGTTTTGCGATGAGCATATGTTTCAATTGTACGAACGTCAGCGAAGTAACACATGGATCTTTCTGAGGCGTCCTCAGGCTGACGATTCGCTCTACCGAAATGAGAAAAACAAAGGAGACAAACGCAGAGCACGCGAGACTACTGTGCGCGACGGAGTCAACTTTGACTGCAAAGCTAGCATTGCTTTGGACAAAGTCGGTCGAGGAGTCCAGCAGCATATCGGCAAGGTGCAGCAAAACGGGGTATTGGGTGCGGTAGGTTGACGCTCTCTATGCCGGACTTCTACAGTTGCCGTGATACTGATAACATTTAGGAAATATATGTCATCAGCAACAGAGACATCAACTCGATGCGGGTACTTGACGAGTGGCTTACCTTCGTCGACACTGATGAAGTCTTACCGCTGTTTGAGAAACCGAATAAGAACTACGATATTCCTAGATTGGGTTCTAAAGACTGGACAGACTACCCCGAGACAGTAGTTGCCGTGGTTCGCGACAAGGACTTTGCTCACCTCCAAAAACTGAAGTCTGTGTCAGACCTGTCCACCATTCTTGGTTTGCTCAATGACCATGGTGAAAAGAAGATGCTTTTGGACACGTTTGCTCATATTCTTGCTTTCGAAGCAAGCTTGGCCCTCTCGCTAGATCGGACGAACGTAGCGTCGACTCTACTCGACTTCCTACCGAATGCGGTGTACCTGATACCCGCATTCTTCCAATCTCAAACGTGGGAGACTCACAGTTCCTCGTTGGAAGAACACCTCACCCACCTGGCCTTTACCCTACTGAGGCACCTTGTCCTGTTGTCGGAGGAGATGGGTACTCTCATCCGGCGTCCAATCCAGATCCTGTTGCAAGAACTGAAGTGCATCTCGTTGAGAGAATTCGCCGAGATCGTGGAGCTCATATCGCTCACGGTCCGCTCTTCCGAAACGGCCTTGGATCTTCTTCTTGGGGTGTTAGAGCCTGAAAGCTCACGGCTTCTGGTAGGACGACCGGCTGCAATTCGGCAATTCACGTCATCGTTGTTCGGCATCGCGCTTGACCATGTAGATGAATCATCTAGCGCTCGTGAGCAAAAGTCGCAAGAGTTTCTCGAGCTGCGCCTGGATGGCCATAGCGACATCTGTGCAATGGTCAAGGGCACACTTCGTATTGACTCTTCCTTGAATGGATTGCTCAAGGCTGGCGATCATGTTCGGCTTACAGCATCCGATCCACCGCAGAATGATGTTATCGCAAGGCTTTTCTCGATGGATGCTGTTGTGTCATCAGCTGAACCAGCCAAGGTTGCATTTCGGTGCCTTCATCATCCGCCGTCGTACCTTGACAAGTGCGCCTGGAGTGTTACACAGTGTGGGTCTTTTGTTACGAGCAAGACCTCGTTCGACGCTGTAACTGCTTTCTACACGGAGCGCGAAGCCTGTAGTACCATCTACCCGATGCTTCTCGGTCTTCCTCCGTCAAAACAAGATAAGTCGATTGGCATCGAGCTACCGGTGACCGTCGCCTCATCACTGAACGGAAGTCAGAATGCAGCGCTCACAGCTTCGATGAAACATTCATTGACGTTCATTTGGGGCCCTCCGGGTACAGGAAAGACTCACACAATTGTCGTCATTATTACCCAGCTGCTGGAAAAACTGCGCAAATTACGATTCCTTGTTACTGCGCCAACACATAATGCAGTGGATAACATGCTGAGGAGGTTCGTGGCTTACCCTGAAGCGAATAATGGTGGCATTGTCCCTGTTCGTGTATCGACGCAGGTAAGTGCGGTCACCTCACACACAGTTAGTAATTGTACTCACATCATAGCAAGCTTTCCAAAGTCGCTCAGGACTTACGTACGTACACATGTGACGCCATGGTCGGCAAAGACCTAAGCGCGAACTTCCCAGCTCGCCGTAAGGCGCAAAAGCGGATCAAAGAGGCTCAGCTCGTGTTTACTACGTGCACTGGAGCTGCCTTAGGTTTGCTTCGTAACGAGGCTTTCGATGTCGTTATCATTGACGAAGCCTCACAGCTTACTGAGCCCGCAACCCTAGTGCCTCTTGTCAAGGGGTGTTCGCGTGCGATATTAGTTGGAGATCATGTCCAGCTTCGCGCCACGGTTCAACAAACTGCTGTAGTAACCGGTTATGACGTCTCACTCTTTGAACGCCATTATAATTTAGCACCAAGAGAAGGCGTCGCAAAAGTCATGCTCGACATGCAGTATCGCATGCACCGCTCCATCTGCGATTTCAGCTCCTCCGAGTTCTACGACAGTAAACTTCATACTGCT